TTTCATCAACCGCAACTGAAGCAAGTTGGGCTAATTTAGTGCGCCTCATCATTGAGGACTTATCTAGCACATCTTTAATTTCCACACCATCTTGACCTATCACACTTGCAACTCCAACATTTTTTCTCTATCTTTGCATGATATACTTGTCCGGCAAAAGCAAAATTTGCTTCACTCAAAAAATGCTAAAACGTGCCAGAAATGTGAACACATTCATTTCATCTTCCATTGTAGAATTTATAACATAAGTATTACTTTCATAAATCTCAACTTGAAAAATATGAAAGTATTTCTTAGTACACATACCCACCATTTATTTCTCCATCGGCACGAGCGATCTCAAGTTTGGTTTTTCATTTGTATCACAATAATCTGCTGTGTACTCCTAATGTCGTACATGTGTAAGTACCCCAATTAAATTGCAAGACAAAGTCCATTAGCGAATTATTTTTCGAACAATACCTTTTGAAGAATGAATGTGAGATGCTCTTTGAATACTTGACATTCTAGCAGAAGAAATAGTACTGACATATGCAGGAACCCATTTATCCCGTAATTCAGACATTTTTTTCAGAAAATCATTATCTTCCTGTTTACTCGGTGCCTGCCCAAGTGTAAGCCAGCTTAGCCGCTTAGGGCCTCGCCTTAGAGGGGGCCTTACATTAGGCTTTTTTTTCCCGAATATATCTATTGCTTATATAATAGTATTGAGAGTACACATACCAATTGCTCTTGCAAATTTTGGTTTTTAAAATTAAAACTATTCCTATTTGTGATGAATTATGTCACAAAAATATTGAGTAAATTAGCCATACCATATATTCAAAAATGATATAATAACAAAACTTAAGTATGGAAGGTTAATTAGTACTTTTACATCTCAAAAAATAAAAAAAATAAATTTTAAACAAAATTTTGGTTGTATTACTTATATACTAATATTAAATTTTAAAAGGCCACATGTATAATTTTCGCTTAGAGCCTCGAATAGTATTGGGCCGCCCCTGTGTTTACTTTTTTGCAACTCGTTCTTCTAACATTCTACAAATTATTCCCTGGTCTTAGAATCACATATGCATGCTTTAAAATGATGATAGTGATCTTGATAAACAATTGAGTTTAGCTTTTCAGAAAACTTTTTCAGAATGTGCCTAGTACAATAATGATGGAAGGTACATGGAAAAGCTTGAGATATAGCCTTCGTCATTGTTGGTCTTGATAAGTTATAAACTCCCGGCGTACCCTTTGGAAACGATTGTTTGGCCAAATGAATGACTCAATAATCTCGTCAATCAAAAAGCCACATCCAAAAACAATTGTTTGGCTATGGTGGTTAACCCCAGTAAGTTGAACAAATATCACACTATAATGGTTTGTATTGTATGTCATATCAAACACTACAACATCACTAAAAAAACTATATGCTCTTATTGCAACAGGGTTAACCCAAAACAATGGTTCATCCTCTTATTTTCATTTATAGCAAAACCAAAGACAAATGTTAGATTCTTTTCTTGTTCAGATTTGAAAGTCAACCTTTCATTTTCTCCCTCATATTTCACTCATGGTTTCTTATATTTCTTTATGCACATCCAACATTTTAAAATCCTCCTGCATGTGCCTCTCAAATAGCAAATTGTTAATGTGTGGGAACATTTACACTTACAAATTGTTGTACTAACACCTTCTTTGCATCTTAAACCTTGCGGTGTGACCTTAACAAGTGTATTTTGCTGTTTATTGCAAAGGGGTGGTTATAACCCTCAACCAATTAATTGATGATGTATTTTCACCCACGTTAAACATCAATTAATTTTGCTCTAGAATCCTCCCTTATTTTTCTTCATAGTCTTTCTACTTTACTCGAATCTTTTTCCACATTCCCATTAAAAAAAATTTCCTTATCTTTTTTCTTCTTGTCTGTCTCAGTTGTTTCTCCTTCCTTATAACAAAAATATTGTTTCCAATATGTGTTATCAATTCCCTAAGTTTTCTTACTCTTGTCTATGCTCATACTCAAACCAGCCTTCTCTGCATATGAGTTGTAAAATTGTATGGGTCATCTAATGTATTGAACTCTTGACCTTCTTTTGGTTTTTTCTAATGTGAAACTTGAGGAATGTATATTTCTTCTATTTTTCCTATTGTAACTTCTCGTACAACATCCATTCCAACTTCAAATAAATCAAGACATGAAAGACGTGCGTATTTTAGCAACCAAACATAGTACAAAACTTAGAATAAAATCATAGTTTATAATACATCATATAGCTATGTGATTAAGATTATGATTCTTACCTTGAGAAATTTGTTGTCGAATCAGGAGAGTTCTAGCTTTAACAAAGAAAGATATCATCCTGATGGATGAAAGATGATATGGGAAAGAAAGTCTCCACTCCATTTTTCTGCAGTTCCTTGTTGTCGTTGTCACATTTGGTGGAGAAAGTGCACAAGAAACAAATGTTAGGAGATAATTTTACTGGAGGAACACAAATGAGAGTGGTTGGGGGAATAAACAAGGGAGAAGATAGAATCATGGAGAGAGACAAATAGCTAGAGAGAGAGAAACTAGTGAGGGAGGGAGAGCACTGGAGAGTAACTAGGAGAGGGGAGAGAGAGAGAGAGAGAGAGAAATATCATAAGAGAGAGAAAAGAAGATATGAGTTTGACTTGTAGATATCAAAAAGCAGACATTAGTTTTGTGCTTGGATCTTTGTTAATTGCTGGCTTTAATATACTGTTGCTAATTGTTTTTTTGATTGGACTTTTCTTTTTTCAAATAACCAATTCATATGTTGTCTCATTCAGGGCATTAGAAGAGTTGGACAATTCAATTTTTCAAGGCAGATTATTGCATGTTATGCCAGCAAAGCAGAAGAATCCCACCTCTAAACAACAGTAAGTAGGCATTTATTTTTTTTGTTTGCTCTTTAGGTAGTCAATTTTGCATTGAATGAAGTTATAGCTTCATCACTTTTGTGCTCTACAAAAATATAAAAAATGAATAAATGTTCTTTTTTTTTTTGTGTGTGTGTGTGTAACTGAAGGAGGACTATTTTATGACTGCATTCACTGTGTAGGGCCAATTTCTCCAACCAATCTGCAAAAACGTTTAAGCAACAGAGGGAGGAGGAGAAGAAGACATCTGAAGCTAGTGGAAATACACGAGCATGGAACACTTTGTTCATGCGCCCTGATACAGTATGTTTCAAATCGAATACAGTACTGCAAAGCTAAATTTCCATGCAATCTTTCTGCACTTTTGGAATTCATATAAAAATAATAAAATTAAGGATGTTGTTTGTTGTATTCCTTAAATTTGGAAAGTGTTTCTAATACCCTTCAAACATTATCACCAACCTGTGGAATTGAAATGAAATGCAGGTTCTTTTGCAGTTATTTGTTCCGTTTCCTTCAGGAGAAGGAAAAATGATGTAAATGGAAACTTCATCATTCTTAGCAGGTGGTTTGGATTTTATTTTCAATAGCGTGTTGGTCCAAGTTTAAATGTTGTAATAATGTATATCCCAGTGACGTGTGCTGGGCTCTAGACTGAAGCTTGGTGATTGTTATATGAGTGAGCATGATGGGTGTCTTCATTGGACCATCAATAGCCAGTGTAGCTTAAAAGGATTAAAGGAAGAAGAGTCTTGAGAAAGATTGGGTGGGGACGTTCGGCATCGAGATTCTAATCATTTGAGAAAGGGAGATTTATGCTGTAAACAGACCAACTTTTGGAGTTTGGAATCTGTATCCAGCTTGAAAGAAAGAGAAAGTGAAATGAATTGGATAACATGGGGGATAGGCGGGAAAGGAGATTAGATAGACAAAATCTCTTTTATGAGAAATGAGAAAGGGGATAGTGTCAATAGTTTAAATTTATGGATTGATAAATGGAGGTTAAATGACCGTGGACATTTCATATATGTTGTCATCATTTGTGGGCTAGGAAGCACATATACTTCTTGGAGGGTGCCGTGGCAGTGTCGGATATGTGTTGGACATGGTTGAACACATATCCGAGGCGGCTAAAAATGTCCTCAGTAGTGAACTCAGTTGAACACGATCAGGTTACAACTAGGATATAGCTAGGAGCCTAGGATACAACCATGACACGATCACAAATTTTTTTTTTCAAAAAGAAAACTACTGTTAATTATTAAAAGGGGTGTGATTTTTTTTTTTAATTATGTATCTTATATACTATGAATGTTAATAGATGTAATGATCTTTAATGAAAATGGTGGATATTTATTTTACTCTATTTTAATTTTTGTCAAAAAAATTTAATATTTGTTAGGTCTTATTATTAATATTGTTATAATATATGCTTTATTTTAAGATATTAAAAATTTATTATTATCCAAAAGATATATTATATTATTTTAAATAATAGTATAAAATATATACTGTAATATACTTAACTAGACAACATAATGTGGAATGTAGTTTTGCTTTATTTGCTTATGTTTTTTTTTTTGTTGTGACTTTGGTTTAGACTACTGGTCCACCATGGATTTTCTGTTGTATTTGTGTTCTATATTTTTAATGACATTTTTGTTTCCTAAAAAAAAAAATTNACAAAAAATATATTATATTATTTTAAATAATAGTATAAAATATATACTGTAATATACTTAGCTAGACAACATAATGTGGAATGTAGTTTTGCTTTATTTGCTTATGTTTTTTTTTTTGTTGTGACTTTGGTTTAGACTACTGGTCCACCATGGATTTTCTGTTGTATTTGTGTTCTATATTTTTAATGACATTTTTGTTTCCTAAAAAAAAAAATTATATTATTTTAATAGTTGTATTCTTGGTGTAATCGTGTCCTATATTTTTTAAGTTTGTTGTATCTCCCCGTTCATAGGATGTCGTATCAGATACGATATCTGTATCTGTATCCATGCTTCTTAGCTCGTGGCACTGTGAAGATGGACTATGTCACTGAGGTTTGACATTTGACCTTGGTCACCAGGTTTTGTGTCATTGATCACTAGCTTGATGTAAGAAATCATATATAGGAAGGTGGAAAGAAGAGGGAGAACATAAAGAGGAAGAGGAGAATGAGAAAAAAAGGGGTGGGCTANTCATCAACCGCAACTGAAGCAAGTTCGGCTTATTTAGTGCGCCTCATCATTGAGGACTTATCTAGCACATCTTTAATTTCCACACCATCTTGACCTATCACACTTGCAACTCCAACATTTTTTCTCTATCTTTGCATGATATACTTGTCCGGCAAAAGCAAAATTTGCTTCACTCAAAAAATGCTAAAACGTGCCAGAAATGTGAACACATTCATTTCATCTTCCATTGTAGAATTTATAACATAAGTATTACTTTCATAAATCTCAACTTGAAAAATATGAAAGTATTTCTTAGTACACATACCCACCATTTATTTCTCCATCGGCACGAGCGATCTCAAGTTTGGTTTTTCATTTGTATCACAATAATCTGCTGTGTACTCCTAATGTCGTACATGTGCAAGTACCCCAATTAAATTGCAAGACAAAGTCCATTAGCGAATTATTTTTCGAACAATACCTTTTGAAGAATGAATGTGAGATGCTCTTTGAATACTTGACATTCTAGCAGAAGAAATAGTACTGACATATGCAGGAACCCATTTATCCCGTAATTCAGACATTTTTTTCAGAAAATCATTATCTTCCTGTTTACTCGGTGCCTGCCCAAGTGTAAGCCAGCTTAGCCGCTTAGGGCCTCGCCTTAGAGGGGGCCTTACATTAGGCTTTTTTTTCCCGAATATATCTATTGCTTATATAATAGTATTGAGAGTACACATACCAATTGCTCTTGCAAATTTTGGTTTTTAAAATTAAAACTATTCCTATTTGTGATGAATTATGTCACAAAAATATTGAGTAAATTAGCCATACCATATATTCAAAAATGATATAATAACAAAACTTAAGTATGGAAGGTTAATTAGTACTTTTACATCTCAAAAAATAAAAAAAATAAATTTTAAACAAAATTTTGGTTGTATTACTTATATACTAATATTAAATTTTAAAAGGCCACATGTATAATTTTCGCTTAGAGCCTCGAATAGTATTGGGCCGCCCCTGTGTTTACTTTTTTGCAACTCGTTCTTCTAACATTCTACAAATTATTCCCTGGTCTTAGAATTACATATGCATGCTTTAAAATGATGATAGTGATCTTGATAAACAATTGAGTTTAGCTTTTCAGAAAACTTTTTCAGAATGTGCCTAGTACAATAATGATGGAAGGTACATGGAAAAGCTTGAGATATAGCCTTCGTCATTGTTGGTCTTGATAAGTTATAAACTCCCGGCGTACCCGTTGGAAACGATTGTTTGGCCAAATGAATGACTCAATAATCTCGTCAATCAAAAAGCCACATCCAAAAACAATTGTTTGGCTATGGTGGTTAACCCCAGTAAGTTGAACAAATATCACACTATAATGGTTTGTATTGTATGTCATATCAAACACTACAACATCACTAAAAAAACTATATGCTCTTATTGCAACAGGGTTAACCCAAAACAATGGTTCATCCTCTTATTTTCATTTATAGCAAAACCAAAGACAAATGTTAGATTCTTTTCTTGTTCAGATTTGAAAGTCAACCTTTCATTTTCTCCCTCATATTTCACTCATGGTTTCTTATATTTCTTTATGCACATCCAACATTTTAAAATCCTCCTGCATGTGCCTCTCAAATAGCAAATTGTTAATGTGTGGGAACATTTACACTTACAAATTGTTGTACTAACACCTTCTTTGCATCTTAAACCTTGCGGTGTGACCTTAACAAGTGTATTTTGCTGTTTATTGCAAAGGGGTGGTTATAACCCTCAACCAATTAATTGATGATGTATTTTTACCCACGTTAAACATCAATTAATTTTGCTCTAGAATCCTCCCTTATTTTTCTTCATAGTCTTTCTACTTTACTCGAATCTTTTTCCACATTCCCATTAAAAAAAATTTCCTTATCTTTTTTCTTCTTGTCTGTCTCAGTTGTTTCTCCTTCCTTATAACAAAAATATTGTTTCCAATATGTGTTATCAATTCCCTAAGTTTTCTTACTCTTGTCTATGCTCATACTCAAACCAGCCTTCTCTGCATATGAGTTGTAAAATTGTATGGGTCATCTAATGTATTGAACTCTTGACCTTCTTTTGGTTTTTTCTAATGTGAAACTTGAGGAATGTATATTTCTTCTATTTTTCCTATTGTAACTTCTCGTACAACATCCATTCCAACTTCAAATAAATCAAGACATGAAAGACGTGCGTATTTTAGCAACCAAACATAGTACAAAACTTAGAATAAAATCATAGTTTATAATACATCATATAGCTATGTGATTAAGATTATGATTCTTACCTTGAGAAATTTGTTGTCGAATCAGGAGAGTTCTAGCTTTAACAAAGAAAGATATCATCCTGATGGATGAAAGATGATATGGGAAAGAAAGTCTCCACTCCATTTTTCTGCAGTTCCTTGTTGTCGTTGTCACATTTGGTGGAGAAAGTGCACAAGAAACAAATGTTAGGAGATAATTTTACTGGAGGAACACAAATGAGAGTGGTTGGGGGAATAAACAAGGGAGAAGATAGAATCATGGAGAGAGACAAATAGCTAGAGAGAGAGAAACTAGTGAGGGAGGGAGAGCACTGGGGAGTAACTAGGAGAGGGGAGAGAGAGAGAGAGAGAGAGAAATATCATAAGAGAGAGAAAAGAAGATATGAGTTTGACTTGTAGATATCAAAAAGCAGACATTAGTTTTGTGCTTGGATCTTTGTTAATTGCTGGCTTTAATATACTGTTGCTAATTGTTTTTTTGATTGGACTTTTCTTTTTTCAAATAACCAATTCATATGTTGTCTCATTCAGGGCATTAGAAGAGTTGGACAATTCAATTTTTCAAGGCAGATTATTGCATGTTATGCCAGCAAAGCAGAAGAATCCCACCTCTAAACAACAGTAAGTAGGCATTTATTTTTTTTGTTTGCTCTTTAGGTAGTCAATTTTGCATTGAATGAAGTTATAGCTTCATCACTTTTGTGCTCTACAAAAATATAAAAAATGAATAAATGTTCTTTTTTTTTTTGTGTGTGTGTGTGTAACTGAAGGAGGACTATTTTATGACTGCATTCACTGTGTAGGGCCAATTTCTCCAACCAATCTGCAAAAACGTTTAAGCAACAGAGGGAGGAGGAGAAGAAGACATCTGAAGCTAGTGGAAATACACGAGCATGGAACACTTTGTTCATGCGCCCTGATACAGTATGTTTCAAATCGAATACAGTACTGCAAAGCTAAATTTCCATGCAATCTTTCTGCACTTTTGGAATTCATATAAAAATAATAAAATTAAGGATGTTGTTTGTTGTATTCCTTAAATTTGGAAAGTGTTTCTAATACCCTTCAAACATTATCACCAACCTGTGGAATTGAAATGAAATGCAGGTTCTTTTGCAGTTATTTGTTCCGTTTCCTTCAGGAGAAGGAAAAATGATGTAAATGGAAACTTCATCATTCTTAGCAGGTGGTTTGGATTTTATTTTCAATAGCGTGTTGGTCCAAGTTTAAATGTTGTAATAATGTATATCCCAGTGACGTGTGCTGGGCTCTAGACTGAAGCTTGGTGATTGTTATATGAGTGAGCATGATGGGTGTCTTCATTGGACCATCAATAGCCAGTGTAGCTTAAAAGGATTAAAGGAAGAAGAGTCTTGAGAAAGATTGGGTGGGGACGTTCGGCATCGAGAATCTAATCATTTGAGAAAGGGAGATTTATGCTGTAAACAGACCAACTTTTGGAGTTTGGAATCTGAAAGAAAGAGAAAGTGAAATGAATTGGATAACACGGGGGATAGGCGGGAAAGGAGATTAGATAGACAAAATCTCTTTTATGAGAAATGAGAAAGGGAATAGTGTCAATAGTTTAAATTTATGGATTGATAAATGGAGGTTAAATGACCGTGGACATTTCATATATGTTGTCATCATTTGTGGGCTAGGAAGCACATATACTTCTTGGAGGGTGCCGTGGCAGTGTCGGATATGTGTTGGACATGGTTGAACACATATCCGAGGCGGCTAAAAATGTCCTCAGTAGTGAACTCAGTTGAACACGATCAGGTTACAACTAGGATATAGCTAGGAGCCTAGGATACAACCATGACACGATCACAAATTTTTTTTTTCAAAAAGAAAACTACTGTTAATTATTAAAAGGGGTGTGATTTTTTTTTTTAATTATGTATCTTATATACTATGAATGTTAATAGATGTAATGATCTTTAATGAAAATGGTGGATATTTATTTTACTCTATTTTAATTTTTGTCAAAAAAATTTAATATTTGTTAGGTCTTATTATTAATATTGTTATAATATATGCTTTATTTTAAGATATTAAAAATTTATTATTATCCAAAAGATATATTATATTATTTTAAATAATAGTATAAAATATATACTGTAATATACTTAACTAGACAACATAATGTGGAATGTAGTTTTGCTTTATTTGCTTATGTTTTTTTTTTTTTTTTGTTGTGACTTTGGTTTAGACTACTGGTCCACCATGGATTTTCTGTTGTATTTGTGTTATATATTTTTAATGACATTTTTGTTTCCTAAAAAAAAAAATTATATTATTTTAATAGTTGTATTCTTGGTGTAATCGTGTCCTATATTTTTTAAGTTTGTTGTATCTCCCCGTTCATAGGATGTCGTATCAGATACGATATCTGTATCTGTATCCGTGCTTCTTAGCTCGTGGCACTGTGAAGATGGACTATGTCACTGAGGTTTGACATTTGACCTTGGTCACTAGGTTTTGTGTCATTGATCACTAGCTTGATGTAAGAAATCATATATAGGAAGGTGGAAAGAAGAGGGAGAACATAAAGAGGAAGAGGAGAATGAGAAAAAAAGGGGTGGGCTAGAGAGATATGCTGAGTCGGGAAGGAGGGAGCACAAGGACTTTCATATAGGTAGTCATGTGTTCGACGATTGGGTACTTTGTGATTGACACATCATGTTTTTCGTTCATCATTGATTTTATAAATGGGTACTTGAGGTTTTTATTTGAGTCTATAACTTTATATATTACAAAATTTGGAAGGACATAGCTAGGGTGATGTAGGAAGGCCATAGGTCCAAAGAGAAAGGAGAAAGTTCAAAATTTTGTTTTGGTACACAGTTTTAGTTAGTGTAGAAATAATATTTTAAGTAAATGTTTTGGAAACATTTCGAAAACCCAAAAAAAAGGAAAAATATGAGAATTTGTTTCCAAAATATTCCAAAGCATTAATTAAAACATGTAGAAACACCTCGAAATATTGAAATTTCGATATACAATCATTGATTCTGGTTTTGTTTCTATGAATATTTATTCATTAATTTCGTTTCAGTTTCCATGGAAACAGAACCATTTCGGTCATTTTGGTGAAAAATAAACAAAATTTTGATCCTTCACATAGGATTAAGATATTAAGAGCATTCTAGACTTGAAATTTAATTGCTAGGAATGAAATTCATGGGATACTGTCAAAATGAAAACAATAAATCTTTATGGAGAAGAGAAGTGAAAAACTATTATAAATATTGACAAGAAACTTTAAAATCCATAAGGTTATTTTTCTCAGTGGCATGAAAATGGTGTACGTCTAAAGGTTAAGGATGACTCTAGTACTTTGACAAGATCTCAAAGATATAGGTGATGAAAGGCAGAAAATTAAACATCAGATATATGAGGTTTACGTGATCAAAAAGATTGGAACTAGAGATTAAGAGAATTGGTTTTGTTCCAATCCATAATTTTTTTTTTTTATCTTTTCGTTGTTATCTATTTCCCGAGAGTCATGTGATAGGGACTATTAATGGGCAGAGCCCACGTTGGCCTTTTATCTAATATAATATAATCTAAGAAGGACGGACATGACACTTCTAAAAAAAGTAGGACAAAGACATATTGGGAACACGTTATAGGTAATTGTGTTTTATATATAAAATTGTATGATTATCACAAATATAGTGATAATGATATATTATTAATAGAAAATTCAGTACTTTATGATAAGTAAATTTATGTCTAGTCATCTAGTGTGAATTTTTAGATTAACATCATAATAATTAATTTTATGGGAAAACCATCATAATAGTCAATAATTATTAATTTTTTCGAAAACGTGTACCAAACACATATAATTTAAATGATTGCTCTCATTTTCTAGATCTTTTATATATCTTTTGCTTTTGCTATTATTTTTTGAGTACAACTTTAACATGTTTAGTCTTGGTATTTATATGTTCTCTCATAGTATAAGATATTTAGTAATCAAAATTTTAAGCCTTATACATTGCATGTTAACACATTTTCATTGTTTAGTAGTAGATACGGTGTAGAGAAGTGTCAGATACGTCACGAAAGATGTGTCGGACATGTGTCTGAAATTAAAATTTTATTATTTAATTATAGATACAAATAAAAGAATACCGAACATGTGTTCGAGAGTGTTTGAGTGTTGATGGTTGACACAGATACATCACCTTCTTGGGAGTGCCCGTGCTTCGTAGAATAAAATACATATTGTGTTATCTAATGGTGAGTGGAAGTGGAACCAACAAAGATAAATCTAATTGCACCCCGTATAAACTTGTGACTAGTGTATCCCGATTCCTTCTTGTATATAAGGTAACTAGAGATGACAAATCAACATTGGATTGTCTTAGATAGTCTGATCTTGGACAACATTTGCCTTGCCATATATCTTTTTCAATTAGTCTTTGGTGATGCATATATTGTTCATGGTTTCAAATAAATCTTGTAAGTTTATATTGAACATATTCCTTTGAACAATCCTGAGATGGTGGAAATGGCATCAATAGGAGGTAAGATGAGAGAAATTCAATGGAGGTGTGTTATCCATGTGCTATGAAGACTAATAACTCAACTGACGATTGAGAAAAATCTATATGTTCCATCTAGAGGGTAATACCATGGGAATAGATAAACCAAAATTGATTTCTGTTTATATCAATGGAATCATGTAAAGACGTGATAATATGTCCTTTGAGGACTTCGTATGGAGGTAAATGGAGGAACAAAATTCATGTAGGCTCCGTCAAATAGTTGTGACAGGGCTTATGGGGCTTGGTTGAGTAAATTTGAGTTGTGTGGGTACCATTCATAAAGCTCAGGCAGTGAGGAGGATCTTCTATGTTTCAGCCAAACTGCTACTTTTCAGCCAACAAAGCAGCTAACACAAAAGACAAATATTAATTAATGACTACTTTGCTTGAGAAGTGTGGAGATGGTTGCTGCAGGTTCTTATTCCATCTCATGCAAAGAATTATTACTTGGAAAGATTGATACACAATTGTTGCTGGACTTATTAAGTGCATCTACGGGCAGAGTCAGAAATGTATGCTTGGGTGGGCACTCTTTGGTCGGTTCCATAACTACATGTTTTATTTTTCTTTACTCCCATTCTATGAAATAAGACAATTTACTTATATTTTCTCACGTCGTATTTTTGATTATTAAAATTTCATTAATCACCAAGGTTTTTTACAATATAAATCAAGCTATCATACTATAACGCTATTTTTATACCAAAACAAAATGAACCCGTAATTTCTATTTAAAAATTATTACCTAAGATATCCACAACTTTTTTGGATAGTGCCTAACATTTCATGATCATATAGGTACGAGTTTGCATAAAGTGATAGAACAAAAAATATAAGATGGGTATGATTAAAAAAATATGAAAGAATAGTTGGAATAAATATAGCTAAAAGTTTTCGAAAAAAATTCCAAGGTATGCCCGTATCCCACCAGGCCGTCATCTGTATATCATTGAGCATATGGTCAAACTGTGCTTTTCTTTCTAGTTACTATGACATGTTGTGTTGCTTGCAATTATGGCAACTTTCTTTTTTGCATTTGCTTGTTATGACACGTGTAGCTATGATTGGTTTCAGATTCATCTCACTTGTTTTCCCTTTTGGTTATATAGTCACACTGTTTGATTTTTAGAGTTTTGGACTTTGATTGTTTAATTTCCTCAAGCATGTCTGTTTGTCTTGTACTGATGGCTGACTCATCATAATTTCTTCATATGTTAAGTATAAGGTCTGATCTAAAATTTTGAACTCACCATCATCCTTTTGTATGTCACTAGGTTGCTGAAAACATTGCTCGGAAATTTGGTGTAAGTAAAAGTGATTTACTAGACCGAGAAGCTGATGACCTCGCTGTACGTATTGCTTTGGGAGAAACTCAAGTGATTGCAGAGACTAAAAAGGCTCTTGCAAATGCTGGAGTCAATATTGCTTCATTAGAGGAGTTTGCTGCTGGAAAAACTGACAGTCTGAAAAGAAGCAATCACGTTATATTAGTAAAAAACTTGCCTTATGGTTCATCTGAAGGTGAACTGGCAAACATGTTTGGAAAGTTTGGGAGATTGGACAAAATTGTTCTCCCTCCCACAAAGACATTGGCTTTGGTATGAATTTTTCCACCTTCCAACATATGGATTGATATAACTTGAAATATGCATACTTGTCATTTCATGTTTATGGTTCATGCAATAACTTCTTTCTCAATAAATTTTTAGGAGTTGTTGGACTAGAAATGCAATTTATTCACATGAACTCCAGCTCACCCGGATAGTTTCAAGGCCATATATGTTCTTACTAGTTCGAATGCATATTTTCCCTTGTTAGCGTGATATTTTCCTTGAAAATTGAAGGATTGATTGCACTATAATGATTTAGAGGTTTTTGTGATTCGGTGATGATAGAGAATGTCGAGTGATCTTCAAAAGAGGATTGTCGTGGTGGTGGTTTGGTTGCTTTGATTAGATAATAGATGAGTCCTTGTGTAATAAATTGCAAGCCTACTTTTGTAAATTGTGCGACTTGTTTGTTAATTATGATTGCAAAGTAAACAGAGAATGAAAAAAGAGAATAATATTAGAAGATAAGTTTGTGTAACAATCTTAACCTAAAATCAAGGATCAAAATTTCGTTTCGAAGTACCGTTTCGGTCAACTCAAAAATAGAAACGTTTCGGAAACATTTCGGAAACGCAATGGAAACGCAGAAAAAATATGGAAACGCATAGAAACACAANGGTGTCGACACGACATTTTGATCCTTGCCTAAAATATTGTAGGGCAATATAAAGTCAATACTACACTACCCCTAATATTAAATATACTAGACTGGTTTAAGACACCTGCCCCCCTCCAACTTATGATGTGGTAGCAGAAAACTTTTAAGAGTTTGTCAAGGAGAAAATGAAAATGCACTAGAGTGTGAGACTTCGTAAAAAAATTTGCTAACTACATATTACAAGGAAGAAAAGGGAGAGAGATTTTACCAAGGTGATGTCGCAAGAAGTGGCAGCCAATCTCAATCTGTTTAGTACATGGAAGACTGATTTGTGAGTAATCTGAATAGTACTAGTGTTGTCATAATATATAGGTGTAGGAGTAGATAAAGGGATGCCAAGATGACCAAGTAGTCATTGTAACTAGACAATCTCAACTGTGGTAGACATCATAGCATGGTGTACAATTTCCATAGAAGAACAAATAATTATTATTTGCTTCTTACTTTTTTAGGAGATAAGAGAATCATGCGATCTATAACGTCGTCAATTGAGTCAGCATCTGAGTAAGTCATGAGGTCCATAGACGAGGAGGAAGGAAACAATAGAATCTAATGCATAGTATTAGTGCCTCGAAGGTACCGAAGAATGCGTAGAACACAATGGATAGTGGTACGTGCGGCAATAAGTTGATTCACATCGTGATCTAGTGCTAGTGTATAGTCAAGTAAAACAGTGTCATCGGTAAAAGAATACCAGACATTGAGCTCTATGGGTGTNTACTAGAGTGTGAGACTTCGTAAAAAAATTTGCTAACTACATATTACAAGGAAAAAAAGGGAGAGAGATTTTACCAAGGTGATGTCGCAAGAAGTGGCAGCCAATCTCAATCTGTTTAGTACATGGAAGACTGATTTGTGAGTAATCTGAATAGTACTAGTGTTGTCATAATATATAGGTGTAGGAGTAGATAAAGGGATGCCAAGATGACCAAGTAGTCATTGTAACTAGACAATCTCAACTGTGGTAGACATCATAGCATGGTGTACAATTTCCATAGAAGAACAAATAATTATTATTTGCTTCTTACTTTTTCAGGAGATAAGAGAATCATGCGATCTATAACGTCGTCAATTGAGTCAGCATCTGAGTAAGTCATGAGGTCCATAGACGAGGAGGAAGGAAACAATAGAATCTAATGCATAGTATTAGTGCCTCGAAGGTACCGAAGAATGCGTAGAACACAATGGATAGTGGTACGTGCGGCAATAAGTTGATTCACATCGTGATCTAGTGCTAGTGTATAGTCAAGTAAAACAGTGTCATCGGTAAAAGAATACCAGACATTGAGCTCTATGGGTGTCTCAATTGTTCGATTATCTAGTAGGCGAGCACGTTGCGTAACATTCGAGGCATATTTAGACTGAGAAAAAAGGTAATTTTTGAGAGATAAATCAACCTCAACCCCAAGAAATATCAAAGAAGACCCAAATTATTTCATCTTAAAATGGCCCAGAATCGTATTCCAGACGTGTCATCGGTAATAGTCATATCGGAAACATAAAGTAAGAAAACAGGGCCATTTTAAATATATAATCTTCAATTCTAACCCTAATCCTATCTCAATCCGAGTTACTCAACCCGATTACTGTCCGAGTTTAATTCGGGTGGGCTCGGGTTGAATTCGGGTTAAAAATTGGGTTACTTAATTTTGGTTGATTTTTTGAAGTGTAAATTTGATTTTTCAAGTGTAGATTTGATTTTTTCAAGTGATCTGAAATGAAAGGCGACACATAGTTGAAGAGAGAGGGAGGCTGAGAGTCTGAAACGACTCAGATGAGTGATGATTGAGAGAGGGAGGCTAAGAGAAGAAAGAATGACGAGTGAGAGAGAGATCTGAGAGTGATGGAGGTGTAGGGGTAAAGAGTTGAAGTGAAGTGAAAGTCTGAACTCTAAAGAGTGAAGATAAATACTAACTCTAGTTAAATATATTTATGTATATTTGGGTTCAACCCGACTTAATAATCGGGTTCAACCCGACTTATTAATCGGGTTCAACTCGATTTTAATATTTGAGTTAAACCCGACAACATGACTTGCCCAAATTCAATTCGGGTTGAGGTTTTTTTGCCCAAGCCTAACCCAAGTATACTACTCCACGCTCTGTTTTTTTTCAAGTTGGGCTCAGGTTGAATTCGGGTTGGACTGCCCAAGTTGCATCCCTAAAGTAACACTAGAGTAAATTGCAGGAAGAGAGCAGAAGCATGATCATTGCCATGAAAATTCAAATTATAGATAATTGAATAAAACTTGGCAAACCATGCTTTTGGGAGTTTGTTTAAGGCCATATAAAGCCTTATGAAGTCAGCATACTTGATTAGGACGATGATCCAATCAAGAAGGATCCATAAACACCACCTCAGATAAATTTCCATGTTAGAGCATCAAACCCAAAAACAATTAGCAATAGGTAGAGTAACCCCTCAAATATATTAACCAGTCTTGGTGGTCCTAATTATTTGATATGAGATATAAACTTTCTTAACACCCTTTTTGGCGTTGGACACTGGCCTGCACTTGGGGTCAACAAACAAATAACCTTGCATATTTAGAAATACAAATAGGTAGCAGACTTGACCCACCGGTCACCCAAGATCCAGATCTGGTGCTATGTTAATTATGCTTACAAAGTAAAAATAGAATGAAAAGAAAGAGAATAATATTAGAACACAAGTCTATGTAACATTAATCTAAAATACACAATAAAAATCCTTATATATTAGGGCAACATAAAAATAATGAAAACGCCTAAACTACCCCATATTAAGTACACTAGACTACTCTAACATGACTAAATGTCCAAAGGCATCCCCTTCCCATTATTTAGCAATTGGAAAGCAGTCTAGGGTTCTAAGTCATGTCATATCACTATGTTGAAGAATTGAACTGTAAATTGTGGTTGTTCCTTAGGGAACCAATTCCCCATTGGTAAGGTGTTATTTTCACCATTAATAAGGCTAGTTTCATCTGTAGTTTTTTGATTTTTTTAAATTATGGTAAGCAATCAAGGCCAATGTCAGTGGTTCTTTCCGAGGTTGCTTATGCAATATAAAAATTTTAGAGTTATGCTAATGGAAGGAGACTTGTATTATCTTGGTTCTGTAGTGATTTATATGGTACTTGGGTCTATTGATGTTATATGAGAGAGGCCAGAAAGGTCAGTGATATTCATTCTTTCTGGGGTTCAACAGTGAAATAATGAGGAAGCAGACTTTTTTAGTTGAAAGAGGAATAAAAGCTCTTTGGGGGATCCTCTTTTTTTGGAATTTGTTGCTCTGTTTTCCTTCAGCTGATGTTATTTCCAATTCTTATTGAACAAGACTAGATGTTTGGTTTTGTTTAATAAGGTTGAAAGATTTGGATGGGTTGCAAGATGACACAACAGAGTGAAAAAATGAATGAATTCTTGAGAAGTTATAGGTGCCACCAACTGAAAGATGTGGCTGCTTTGGTTAGGTAGCAAACAATAAAGAGCATACCAGTGGGAGGTGATATTGCCAAATTACAAGGTTTAAGGCAAAAGCAAAACATACATGAATTAGGGTAATGATGAGAGGCATAATAGATCTTAATGTCATAAAGAACTTGGTCTATGATTGGGCAAAATGTTAGATTCAACTTGCTTTTTCCCAATTGTGCACATGAGGCTTTGTTGAGTCAAATTGATGTAGAATGGGATACCCTCAATGGAGGTTCATTGAAAAGTTAGATTGTCCTTATACAATTAAACCATATTTGATGTTTTTATTTCATAAAAAAGGGGCCCACTGATTCTTTCATCAAAATTTGGCTTAATAACCTGGAGGTTATGGGCTTGAACCTGTGGGCAACCACTTTNTTAACTAGTCTATTAGTGTATCATAACAACAATTATTCTAGTGTTTAAGAATCCCTAGTTTTTTTTTAATAATAGAGAGTTCTTAGCAAAGGGAAAAGTGCACGGGGATCACATTGATTGTATGGTGTGTAACGAAAGGTTAATTTTTGGCTGATGCATCTCAATACAATATATGACTTAGAATTTTTGGATTTGCATTTTATACGTCGCTACTTGGGGAAAGTCATATGGTTGGTTGTATTTGTAAAGCATGTAAAGTGCTATGGGATGTAGACTCATATTAAATTTGTTCATTNTGTCGAGTGATCTTCAAAAGAGGATTATCGTGGTGGTGGTTTGGTTGCTTTGATTAGATAATAGATGAGTCCTTGTGTAATAAATTGCAAGCCTACTTTTGTAAATTGCGCGACTTGTTTGTTAATTATGATTGCAAAGTAAACAGAGAATGAAAAAAGAGAATAATATTAGAAGATAAGTTTGTGTAACAATCTTAACCTAAAATCAAGGATCAAAATTTCGTTTCGAAGTACCGTTTCGGTCAACTCAAAAATAGAAACGTTTCGGAAACATTTCGGAAACGCAATGGAAACGCAGAAAAAATATGGAAACGCATAGAAACACAAATGCAATCCATTAATTTATAAAGATATGCTAAATAATTTATTAATTCAACATATTTATTAGGTTAACATCAATTTATACAAGAATAAATTTAAATTTGAGGGAAAAAAAGGCTTGACTTGAGGCGAAAGTCACTTAAATTAGTTTCAAACACTTAATTTTTATGAAATAAACACATTTTTACATAATATTAAGGTCTTATAATACACATGAAATGCTAATGAGTA